AAATGCATCATACGAGCCGTTAAAGCATAGCATACTATGTAAACTCTCGCCCATACAGTGATTTTTACAATCGGATTCCTCAAGTACGGTATGGGCGAAAGTAAAAATGCGACTTTTTAGTTATTAAATTTTTTGGGCTAGTAGTGTGAAATTACTAATGTGTTTACATCTAATCTCATAAGTGACCGAACCATGAAACTGTATGTGTCGTGTAAATCGTTGACCTGCACAGTACTTTTTGCTAGCGACACGTCCCCGAATACGGTATGGGCAGGAGTTCAAAAATGGTTTTTCAACAGTAAATTTCTCTAGCTAGTAGTATAAATTGGTTTTTACGAATAAATTTTGTACATTAGTCAAAGCCTTGACTATAAAGACTTTTGCCCACGTACTTCACTAGAAGACACCCCTCGAGCACGGTACTGGGCGAGAGTCCAGTTAACTTTTTGCTGAATGAAATGTTGTGAGTTTGTAAAAACTCTCAAGTTGTATGCATTTTAGCCCTGCGATAATCTTTACTACGACATTCTGTCCCAGTTCCGTACTCTTTCTGAGTGGACAAAGTTTCGAGTACGGTACTGGGCAGAGTTTACACTCAGATTTCTCGGCCAGGAGTAGGTCATATGAGCTGTAACTTGGGCGAAAACTTAGCTAATAGCTTCAGTTCAGTATCCTTGCAGAAAATACCATCAAAATCTTTTCTTATAGGTCCCCTCCGACGAAAAACATCTCCCTCTCTGGCGACTTTTCGACCTGATCCTTCAACATTTGACTCTTCACGCCACTGTCCATGGCATGACCGACGTTGAGGAAGCATTCACATCAACGATCGACATGGAGGACATCCTTACAAGGTTGGGTTGGCTATTGCCTATTCCGTTTCGGGCGTCGGTGTGTGTTTATTCCCGTCCAATTAACCTTCGCCGACAAGCAGGTTGCATACGCAATGCGACTACGAACGTTTGGAAAGCGAGATGGAACGAATGAAGGAAGAGTTAGACCAGGAACGAATGAGGGCATTGGAATTGGACAATCGAATAGCGGATTTGAGTGACGGACGAAACAGTATGGTGAGCAGGTTGGTGTACTCAAGTCGCACTTTTCGAGTTTTTTTTCCTCAGATAATCCTCTCATTTGGTTTGTTTCTTGCCTTCTTCTCTATTGCCTTCTTCCTTGCGGGACCCAAATCTTCTCGCTTTTTGTCAAAAGAAAAAGATTTTGAGACTGTGTCGTACAGCGAACGACAAGAATTGTTCTGGGGAATCCCACGAATCCTGAAATTGACGATCTGAAAGGAAAAATAATGATATGCATTTTGAAAAATCAAAGAATTCAGTACGGCATGGCATGCGCTACGGTAGGTATACTTACT